CGGCCGCGGCCGCCGCCCCCGCCCCGCTCGGCTCCGCTGGCTCCGCTCGGCTCCGCTCGGCTCCGCTCCGCCCGCCCGCCGCCGGGACTCCGCCGCTGCGGCCCCGCGCCGCCCGCCCGCCCTTGCCCGCCGCCTCTGCCGGGCCCATGGCGAGCACGTCGGCGGAGATCATCGCGTTCCTGCTGACCATCTCGGGCTGGGTGCTCGTCTCCTCCACGCTGCCCACCGACTATTGGAAGGTGTCCACCATCGACGGCACGGTCATCACCACCGCCACCTTTTGGGCCAACCTCTGGAAGACCTGCGTGACCGACTCCACCGGCGTCTCCAACTGCAAGGACTTCCCATCCATGCTGGCGCTGGACGGTCAGGCTCCCGCTGCCCCCCACCCTGACACCTCCCCACCTTCCCCTGTGCTGCTCTGAGGGAGCTGGGGGCCCCGCGGATCCTCCCGGGCCGGTCCCGGAGCCGGCGGGGCGGGCGGACAGCGCGGGGTCGGGGCGCCGAGCGGGCCGGGGGCGGCGGAGCCCCGGAGGAAGCGGCTCCCACGCGGGCTCGTGGGCAAGTGCCCTCGCGTGCCCTGGCAGGTGGCAGCGTGCTGCTTGAGCACACCTGTGCAAGTGGTTTGTTTTTTTTTTTTTCCCCAAAAACCCCCTGATTGAAAGTATGTTTGGTGCCTAAGTGGCGGCTTTGGCCTCTTTTGCTGTCCCTACCTGCCTTTTTTTCCCCCTCCTTCCATCACAAGAGTGTGCGTGTGGATTTGACACAAGAAGAATGCAGGCAGATTTTTCTTGCCGATTTATTTTCTGACTGTCATGACATTCTTCTTTTTTATGGTTTTGCCAGCCATGCAACGGTCAGTGGAGAAGAACAAGCCTTGGCGTCATTTTGTTTTAATTAATGTTCTTTTGCTGGTTATGCTAAGCGGTTATTAACTTGGATGTAATTGCTTCATTGATAAATGACAGTGTAAAAGCTCGGGGCAGTCAGGGATGCAAAGGTATGCAGAAGGGATGCATAGCTTGCCTCAGTTTTCGGGCAGTGTTATTTTGAAGCAAATCTGAGTTTTGCTATAGGGCTTGGAACCAAAGACTTGAGTTGGTGCTACATTTCTTCTCTGTTTAAGGGGGAATATTTTTGCCCTTTAAAGAAGCTGTACTGGGAAATTGGTTCACTGTGGAAAATCTTTGCAACTAAACTTTTAGTTGATAAATCCACACTGATTATGGCTGGTAGAAAAAGGAGATGTGTGGATGGCATCCGTTTATAGCCTCAGGAGTGACTATAAAGAGAGGGAGGAAAGGTTTCTAGAATTATGGCACCTTTTCCAAGTTTCTATAGTTATAAATGAATACAATATAGAGTGTCCCAGTGGCTTTCATACTCACAAAAGATCAGATTCATGGTCTGGCCAGACACTCCCTTTGCACTAGAATCTGATTGTGAATTTTCGTGTGAAAGTTTTGTTTAGATTAACAGTCCTTTTCCTTTTAATCACTAACTTATTATTGTAACAGGGTTTAATGTGATCATGAAATTAATACCAATATCAGAAAACCTTTAACCTCTGTATGTAGAAAGGCCTAACACAGGTCAAGATACTGGAAAAAGGTAACACAGGAAATCCTTAAACATCACTGCAGGATGCTTCCCTTGGATGGAGAAGTACTATTGCTCAGATCTTCTTTACACCTAGCCCCAGGTAGCAGAGGGATTTGCCAGTTCCTCTGAAGGGGTGGGATTGCTGGCTGGCCTCCATTGACATCAATCACTCTACGACCAAGTGTAGCAGCTGAGAATGCGGTTTCCAGGCTTGGGCAAGGAACTGTGTTCTGTGTGCAGGTGGGCACAGAGTGATTGCTGGTGCGTAACCTTTTGGATCCACCAAATCTATTGCTTAGCTGTTCTTCTAGGTCTGGGTTAATCTGTCTTCAGGGTAAGAAAAGCATAGTTACAAAGTAAGCAGAATTGGGAACATTTAAAATTTCAAAAAGAAAAAGACTTGATAGCAAAGTCCTTACCCCCCCTTCCTCCAAATGCTTGAACATTGAAATGTTGTGTGTTGAGTAGCATGTTCCACTTGGCCAAGGAATGAGTTTCTGAGGCACCTTCTGCACTGTGAGAGAGTCATCAGTTCATTTTGGACAGAAGTGAATTCCAGATGCACATTGGAAGGGCCCTATCCCATCTTCCCAGCCAGACTGTTTATCAGTAGTAGAAAGTTCTTGGCTTTCAGTGTTTCTCAGTAGCATCTCTAAATGCTGTGGAGCCAGATCCTGGTACCCAGGCACAATGCAAGTGGAAGACAGGCTGGAGAGAGAGGAATGTACCCCCCTAGCATAGACCGGGCAAGCTGGGTTGGGTCAGAGGGACAGCTACACGGAGGCAGAGGTGCTTTCCACAAGTAGCCTGGCCCAAATTCCTCTTCTTGTGCTTACAGGCTCTGCTGGGAACCCTTTAGCGCCTGACCATGGGTGTGTAGGTCCCGTCTTCACCCTAACCCTTCCCCCTTGCAGGAACGTACTTCAGGCTTGCAGTGCGTCACTCATGGCTTAAAGAATTTGTGTGTCAGCGTAAAGCTGAATCTGCCTCAGCCCTTGAGTAGCCTCTCCCTTCTCTCCTCTTCTCTTTGCACAGACTTACATGTCTAAGCTGGATCCCGTTCCCTGTGATTGGGAATGTGGGAACTTCCTGGCTCCATCCTCAGGTGGGGGATTCAGAAGACACAAAAGGGCAGATCTGGTTTTCTGTATTCATGAAGTGCTTGTGAGCAGAAACAATAACCCTATAAAGATAAATGTAGTGGCAAAGTGTTGGTCTCCTCAAAATGGTAGGGCATGACTGGAAATTACTAGTAATATTTTTGTTGTTCCAGGAAAATGTGGCTTTTCTCCACTCCTTCCTCACACAAATGGAAAGGATTTGCCTCACAGAGCAGTTCTTCTACAGAAATGTTTTTTTGGTCAAATCAGAAACCTCTGAGTGCTGTACTTCTTGTCTGGAGAGACTGCTCAGATCTACCAGGGGATTAGAGGTAAAACGAGGAGGGAAAAAAATTGGGATATCACTATGCTTTGAGCAACCTGGTCTAGTAGGAGGTGTGCCTGCCTATGGCGGTGGGGGTAGGAACTAGATCTTTAAGGTCCCTTCCAACCCAAGCCATTCTATGATTCTATTATTCTGTGCCAGTTGCTGGAGTTCTCCTGTGGAATACAGCAGCTTCTTCAGAAGCAATGTCAAAGTTTGGGTCAGGAGTGCTCAGGAGATGGTTCCCCTTTATCCTTGTTTTGGTTTGCATCATGGAGTGGGCTTGGACTGTGCTCCACAGATTGCTGTAGGATAGCACAGCAGCAGGGCTACCCTGATGGCTTTCAGGCCCTCACTCCACACAGACGGCTTCCAGAGAAAATTGTATGTGATTCCCTTCCGCCTTTATGCAATTTGACCAGCCTTCATTAATTACACAGCCCCACATTCTGTATACAAGCAAAAATATTGTTCCTCTCGGTGGGCCTCACAGTAATTTTTAGGTTTACTTCTTTGTGCCACTGGTCATATGTGGAAACTTACTGATGAAACCACCTCCCCAAAAGAAGACATATCAGTTTCCATGTTTCCAACAGTGGATCTGGTGACCTTTTGCAAAACAAAGCTGAACAAAAATTTACTTATGAACTAAAAGAGGGCATTAGAGCTTAGAATGACAGACAAAAGCAGTGGGTGTGTGCTTTTGGAAGGAATCTATGCTGTATCTGTAAGGCAACCTCTTACCCTTCACGTGATGCAGACTGCAAAATGCCACCAGAGGCATTTGTTGTGAAAGTGGCAGTTCCCAGAACTTTGCATATATTTTTTTCCATAGTGTCATATGATATGAATATGTGAATGCCTCCTAACTCTTTGTAAGCCTGAGAGGCAAGTATGAGAGCAGTGAGGCAAGAAAGATGAAGCTCTAACAAGATTAATTTGAATGCAAGACAAAACACATTTGTTTAAGACAAAAAAACCCAACAAACCCACCAACAAAAACAACAAAAAAACCCCTAACAAAAACCACCTTGAAATAGGTTTCTCTTGGAATGCTGCTAAACATGACTTTATGAGTAATGCATGTTTGTCTGCTTGTCTGTTTAAAATGCATGGCTTTTTGTCGCTTGAAGCTTCATTTGGGTGGTTTGTAGTTTCCTACAGGAGCTGGTGCAAATACAGAAAATAAACATTTGGAAAAGGGACAGGTTTGGTCTTGAGCGAAGGAGTGTGAAGAAATAGGCAGCTTCCTTTTACACTCTTCTGCATTACCAT